ACCTCAATTTGTATGCTGCTCAACGACGAAAACAAAATCCAAAGGTACCATCAAATGAACGAATCAAATCGCCTTCAAATTTTTCGTTTCGTTACTCAAACAAGCGCACTGAATTGCTCTCGTTCACTCAAAATCGCTTTCGAAGCGAACAAGCTTCCCCTGAACATTCCGCCATATTGAAAATTTTCAGAACACATGTGATCCACTGATATCGTCAAGTTTCCTCAGTAGAGGAGTGCTGTGGATGCTGATGATTTTACGCTTAATCCCGATCGTAATTTTCATTATTCTGATTGCGTATAAGTCGCCGATTAGTTCGATAATCGCTTCTGTAATGGAACGACTTAAATCAATGTGTCAACGGGATCAATTCAAGAGCAGGTATCGAGGACAGCTTTCATCACGTCTATCATCTAAGATTATTTGAACTTAGCTAAATGACAAGGACACAAATCACTTCTGAGCATTTGAACATAAACCATCATGAAAAAAATTGAAATTTCCGAGCGATTTCGATAACGACAGCGAGCCTCAATTAATCAGAATATGCTAACAGCAATACGCATAAGTTCTTAACATTCGCTCAATAATACTATTACTAATTTGATAACAATTTCGAAAAAAATATCATTGCTTTCATAATGCTTCTTATCTTACAATGCTTTTTAATGCTAACATTTAATCAATTGGCCCACAGTGCAATATTAACATACATATGAGACTGCAACTTACCAACTTCAGTAGCGTGATTTCTAAACGTTGATTGCTCATCAAATCATATTATTGTAATGGTGATAGAACAAAATTTTTGGATGATTAATAGAGAATTTATTGTTTTTGAATGATCTGACAAAAATTATTATCCCAAACTTTCCATGTTAACCTTACTAATTCCATGTTCGTAATTGTGTTCAGTGCTGTGCTTGAATGCTTCTCTAAAACGTTTCAGATACATCAAGAAGAAAGACTACAACAACAACAAGAACGGCAGTTATAAAATTGATTTCACGAATACGGCAAAAACGACTCCGGTCAGTGCGCCACCTGCACCTGGATCGCGGTGAGCATTAATATCTAATATGGATTAAGGCTTTCTCATATGCTACCCTATCTTACTGCTTGCAGTCAAGCTTGGAACTTGGCTAACGATCGCGCAATAACCCTCTGTATCTGATTCCTTGATAACTTTTCTTATACTAATGCTTTGAGTTGTACTATCGGCTGTAAAGCTTCTGTTAATTTTTTGGGGAGTTCTATGAAATAATGCGCTCATAGTGTGGATTGTGTTCGGGAATGTTGGACTTGGGAGAAACTGATTCAGAGCTTGGAGTTCTGAATTGATGTGTGAGAGTGTAGGATAACCTATCGATGCAGATTTCTTTGTGTCCTACTTATGCTTTAGGTCATTCATGTTAATGCTTTATACCTGCAACATTTTATTGACGATTATTTTATTGCGTTGGAAAAATCTCTTACAGTGTTACGATTAGTGATGATTTTTAGATCCAATGTTTCGACTCCGTTACCGGCCATGTCACCTGCGGCTATTGATCATAGTATAAGGTAGGCGCTTCTGTCACTCTTCTAGATTAGTATCAGTCTTCTGGTTGTTAGTATTCTTCTATTCCCCTTTGAGATAATTGAACTTCGATATTATCAGTTTGTGGGATATTGTGGGACTTTGTAGTTGTTCTATCGCGAAATTTTCATGTAGTACCCAAACTTGATTGAATTGAACACTTGCTTGGAACCATCTTCGCAAAAACGATTTGCTGTTGATTTCATTTGCTCGAATGTTGAAACCTTGACATGGTTCCAGAACGCAGAACCATGTCAACGAGCTTGTGAACCTTTTGCATTGAAGAATTTGCATGTTACCCTTGACCCAGCCAGTGATTTGATCTTCATTCAGTATCTGTCAGCAATGAATTACAGCGCAGCGAAGTTGAATGTTTTTTGGGAGTATTGAAATTCTAGACATTGTTAAATCAGTGAAATGTCCAATGATGTGAAACTTTTGAATCCTTTTGTGTCAGTTTATAATCTGCGGAGTCGGACCATTGAATGGCGTTTCCTTTTGCAGTTATAATAACGCGGCCTATTTCGCGACCACTGGAACAGTCGGAGCACCTGGCGTGAATAGCTCTCGTAGTAGTGAGATCTCAAGATGTGACGCTATCGACCTTTACAAGTGAGCCTATTTCTAAATGCATTGGATTTGTCTCTTGAGATACAAACATTCAAAGAATTTACCAAGCATATCTTATTGATAAACTCATGCATCTATCTTAGTTAATGTCGTCAGCCATGTTCATCTGATCGCAATCTCCGTAGGATATTCTCATGTTGCGGATTAATTTGTGGATTTGAGATGTATTCGACTTGTTATTTAATCCGTGAATCTGAAACTAAATTCAATTCGATTGAACGTCATTCATTATCCGAAATCTTCAACTTTATTCATTTTATTTCAATTTCTGCGTCGATTTCAGTATGTCAATTTCAGTATGTCAGTTCAGTATGTCAATTCAATCGTATGTCAATTTCAGGCCTGCATTGCATACCAGCAGTAGTATTATGTCAGAAGTATGAACTGAAATGCTATTTATGTATATACATACTCGTGTATGTACGAATCGGATGAGCAACTGATGTACTATGTACTATAAACCTTAAGTTGTCACATTTTTTGTAAATTTTTTTACTTGCTCGAAAATGATTGTTTGATTTTGAAATACGTGGAATATTGTGACAATACGTTGAACATTGTTATGTTGTTTAAATTTGTTTCTGTTTTCATATTGTGCATCCAAACTGATACGGCTGATCGTATCAGTTGAAACCCAATGATATCTATCTTATCAGTAGGTATTTGCCTAAAAATGAGTTATTCAAATTCTTTTCCATAATAATGACAAGATATCAAACAAAGACGAAGATTCAGAATTGTCCCCAACTCACCAAAGTAGTCGCTCCTATTTTTATTCGTCGATATTAATTGATCCACGATAGATCATATAACATCTTGTGTATGTGACAATATATGTTTCTAAATGTGCATTTGACGTTTTGTTATGAATATGCATTATGAATATGCAGTTCAGTCTGCATTTATGTACCTATGCAAATATGATAGTTCAAATAAACTGATTTATGGATTGTCACATTTCATTGAAAATCTCGAATTGTTTTGCAGAATTTCATTCAAATTCCCAAATCAGATGTTTGATTCGTTGACAAAAAACATCGTCTCTATCAAAGATCTTGCTAACTGGCAATATTTTTGATGCATACGGTTCTATGGTCATTTGGAATAGCTATTGAATTTAAATGTTCCGGTCGGATGATCTATATGAGTGAAATTCGATTAATCCTGCAAACTCAACCAAGATATATGACCTTCTGTGGGTGTACTCATTCGAAAAAAAGATGCAAAAAAGTGGAATTGTTGTTGGGGTGTATCGAATCATTATCAGCTTGACCCAATGCAGCCGATAATTTCGTGAAGGAAGTTGGAATTTTTCACTAATAAAGAATGGAGTAGAGTGTTTTGGTAGCGAATCGCACAGTCGCTCGACTAGAAA